TGTCAGCAACAAAGAGGACTTATAAATAAAAAGCTTTTTGAAAAGAAAAAAGAAAGACACTCCAAAAAGTTCTGTTCATCACCTACTTATTGCCTAATGCTTACTTCCACTGACCGCCAAACCTTGCTTCAGTGCATCAGGCACATCATTATAATACTCCATGTCCATCAAAAGTAAAAACTTACATTTATATAATTTGTGAAAAAAAATGTGATCACTCAGTCCATGACTGCTTGTGGGAAACTGCTGTGCAATTGGCTGCTGCGTTTCACCCACAAAATATACAGTCAATTCACTTTACAGTATATTCCGTGAAGTGCTTTGAGACATCTCAAAGACGTAATGAGGTACTATATCAAATGCAAAGCTTATTATTTTATTATAATATATAAAAACAGAAGTTGATGGAAAAACTCAGCAGGTCAGGCAGCATCAATTGAGAAAAGTGGGATTACGTTTTCGGGTCGATGACCTTACATAGTTCTGACGAAAGATCATCGACCTGAAACGTTAACCCACATTCCACTCTCCTTAGATGCTGCCAGACCTGCTGAGTATTCCTAGCGACTTCGGTTTTTATTTCAGATTTCCAGTATCTGCACTATTTTGCCTTTCGTTTAACCTATATTTATACAATGCTTTTCATCATTCTTTTCGAGGTCTCCACACAACAGTTAGATAATCAGATTCTATGCCTGTCAATTATAACACTTTTAGTTGTGGAGGAAGGAAACAAAAGAGGGTCTAAACTCTAGAGGGTTAACAATCCGGCTCAAATTAGTTGGTGTCTTACACAGGATCAGTTCAGAGTATTATTAAAAGCTGTAAAAGCAATAGAACAAATATTGAATGGCAGAGTACTTATCAGGTCAGCTCCTGCTTGCAAGAGAAGCTGTATTCAGAGCAGAACTAATTATATTAGACATGGAACACAATTACTAGATCAAATAAACTGCTTTACTCAGTTCTCAAATTAAATTGAAGCACCGTTTACACCTTTAGACTTCACTGCCACAACATTGAGCTAAAACAAAATGCAGCCTCAGAACTGTTGAATCCTGCTTTGCTAAAAGCTACCATTTTATAACTGTTGCTTGTTGGGTAGGGCAAGTTTACTAAATTTGGTATAACATTCGGTGAGTTTCCTCCTAATACAAATACTATTACCTCCAAAGATGTCGCCAATGTCAACAGGCCATTGATCACCCCATCTAGGAATAGTACCTGAGAAGATTGCCTGTGGAGATTGTGATACAGCTTTTCTTTTACAATTTTGCTCAAAATCCATTTGAGTAAAATAGAGTCATCAAAAAAATCTGAACCATGGGGTTCAATAGGCAAATGCACCATGTAATACTGAGCCAAATATACTGGGACTTAACAAGAAAAAGCTGACTTAAAGCACTTCTATTTTTTGATCGCAACAAGTGGATGGTTTATGGCTTTTTCCTATAATCACAATCTACTTTTATCTTATTATTAATTACATAGAATTGCATAGAACATACAGCACAGAAACAAGTCATTTGGCCCAACTGGTCTATGGCGGCATTTGTGCTCCACATGAGCCTTCTTCTGCCCTTCCTCAACTAAGCCTATCAGCATAACCTTCTATTCCTTTCTCCCTCATGTACTTATCTAGCTTCCCCTTAAATGCATCTATATTATTCACCTCAACTACTCCTTGTGGTAGCAAGTCCCGCATTCCCACCACTCTGTAGGTAAAGACTTTTCTTCTGACTTACGATTTGATTTATTTGTGACTATTTTATATTTATGGCCCCTGGTTTTGGTCTCCCCCACAAGTGGAAACATATTTTCTATGTCTACCTATCAAAACCTTTCATAATTTTAAAGAGCTCTATTGTGGAGTCCTGTAGCTCAGTGGTTAGAGCACTCGCTTTGCAAGTGAGAGACCTGAGTTCAATTCCAGGCAGGGCGAAACCTTGGGCAAGTTTCCTTACTCCACACGCCTAATAATAATCCCTCCAAAACAAAAACAATAATAAATTGGTCATTTTCAATCTACGACTGTTTGTGGGACATTGCTGTGCGCAATTGGCTGCCGCGTTCGCCTACAAATATACAGTCAATTCACTTTACAGTCTATTCTGTGAAGCGCTTTGGGACGTCCTCCCGACGTGAAAAGCGCTATATCAAATGCAAGGATTATTATTATTATTATTAAATCACCCCTCACCCTTCTCTTTTCTAGAGAAAAAGAGTCCAAGCTTGTTCAGCCTTTCCTAATAGGTATAACTTTGCAGTTCCGGTATCATCTGTGTAAATCTCCTTTGCACCTTCTCCAGTGCTTCTATATCCTTTCTACAATATGGGAACCAAAATTGTACACAGTACTCCAAATGTGGTTTAATTAAGATTCGATATAAGTTTAGCGTAACTTCCCCGCTTTTCATTTCTATCGCTCTAGAAATGAACCCCGCTTGGTTTGCTTTTTGGGGGGGGCCTTACTAACCTGCATCGTTACTTTTAGCGATTTGTACCACTAGATCCCTTTGCTTCCCTACCCCATTTAGATTCTTCTTTTCCAGGCAGTATGTGACCTCCTTATTTCTCCTACCAAAATGCACCACCTCACATGTGTCTATATTTTATTGATTAATAAAATAATGCAACCTGGTGTTACCTTGAAACATCCATGCATTAAGGAGTTGAGGTTTCAGCTTGCAACACAAGGTGATTTGAGAAATTCTCACAAGGTTTAACTTTGCTGCACCGCATATCACAGGTCAATCTGCACTCTGTTATATAATAATAATAGTGTTGGCAAAGTGTTTTCCAATTACAACAACAATTTCTAGTTAACACCTTTCACATAGGGAGAACATCTCAAATTGCTTTAGAAAAACTGAGAAGTCCAGCACAAAGAGAATGATTTTTTTTTAGACTGGTTTCAAAAGATTAGAGAGGTGAGGGAGGGAGGCCAGGTTGAGGGATTTTGGGAACAGTTCTATAGGGAGCGGGCACAGAAGCTGAAAGCACACCTGCTAATGGTGGGCAGAACCGGGACAGAGGTTAATGAAGCCAAGGAATTGCTGAGGGAATAGGTTTGCAGGAGTTCACTGAGGTAGGGGGGGATTTTAAAGGCCCCTGGATGAGGATGTTGATTCAGAAGCTGACAAGCAGGCCATTGGAAAAGTTGATCTGGAAGTAACAAAGGCAGTGGATGAGGATTTCAACTGAGTGGATGGTGAGATAGTGGCAGAGTGGATACATCTAAAGGGTAAAATTCTGTAATGAGGATATGTCTTGATAGAAATGAAAACAATTTTAAAATGAACTACATTACAATGTGAATGATTAATTAATATGTTGTTTAGAATTCTGAGAGGGCACAATAGTACAGCTTTACCTTGCTTGCAGTGTGTTAAATGAAGTTAACGTTAATAAAGAGGATTATTACCTACAAGGAAAACATTAATTTATTCCTTAAGAAATGTTCCTCTTTTCCCCGAGCAAAAAAGTAATTGTAATGGAATTAGCCTGACAAGCAGGAGTTTGAGGATTCAGAACTTCCCAGTATCTAATATTCCTCCAGAGTAAGCGGCACAAAAAGCAACCTTAATAAAATGTTATACAAACACTCAGTAATAGGCAGAGGGAGTTTCTGTATAAGTCTTCTCAACTCTATGTTGAAGTTCTCTGAACCACAGTGGAGATGTGTGTAGTTATTGCTTTAACCTTGCTGTTGGCAAGACCAGGGTTTTTACAATTTAAATTTAATTGTTTCAATCAACTATCAAGTTTCCCCTCCCAATTCTCTGGCTGTTTTGCCCACAACATATACAGTCAATTCACTTTACAGTTTATTCTGATAAAGACGTGATAAGGCACTAAATCAAATGCAAGGATTATTATTATTGTTATTAAAATGTGGCTTATTCCAAAGCACTCCTGAACCAGCTAACAGGAATCAGAATATTTACAGCAATAGGAGGTCATTCGTCTCACTGAGCATGTGTTGGTGCTGTTGAAGTTATCTTTTCTAATCCCATTTCCTTGCTCTTTCCCCAATACACTTTAATGTTATTTTCCCTCAAGTGTTTATCTATAGAAATGAAAGAATAGAACCGACTGATCTGAATCTAATTTTCTATCCCGAACAAGACAGAATGAGATCAGGAACTCACCATGTAGGAAGCAGTTGGTGTAAAACCTGCTTCGTACACAGTTAATTGTATTGCAGTGATTCAGCACAGCAGTGCTTGAACACTCTGGATGATCGAGAAGCGGGAGTTTGGATCATTTGTGCGATTTCCAAACACCACTATCATCATAGGGGGAACATGCTGAGCAAAGGACACGTACCTCACACAGGAGCAATAGTCACTTCGGGCAACTTTCGTACATTGTCCATCAGTTAGTTAAAGTCAGAATAGATGGCTATCACAAGCACTCAGCCACACATAGGAGGAGCCAATGTTATTAATTTAAACTTATGTTCCAAGCAACCAAGCAAGTCCCAGATAGCCAATTGATTGTATAACAGAGTGCTAACACATAAAAAGATTAACTTAAACAGCAATTTGACCACAAAATATATCAGGCAGAAATCCTGTTATGTTCCTTCCTAGCAGCCAAGCAAGTCCCAGATAGTTCATTGATTAATTATTAACAGAGTGCTAATACATGGTCCAAAATGTCTACTACTACAACAACAACAACAAAATTACATTTGTATGACACCTTTCACGTCGGGAGGATGTCCCAATCTATACATCTATACTGTACCTACACTCTACTATCTGGATTCTGTTGCCAAGCAGTAGAACTAAATTTTAAAAAGGCTAAAGAAGGTCGAATGGCCTCCTTCTGTGCTGTATAATTCTATGATTCTATGATAAAGACGATTAGAGGTAGTGCTCCTTGGATTCTTTAGTTTGGAATTGGAAACTTGGGTCGGAATTTAGCAGCTTTTAGTGATGTGCAATTTTTTGTGTTGGAAGTAAAGTATTCTACTGTGTAACCACAAAGCCTACCTGGTTTCCTCAGTAGCCATATAAAAGCCATCATCAGGGGGATCGATCCAGTTGGGCCCCCGTCTCTTGATCACGGGAATGGTGCCAGGTTTGATTACGTTAATGCCGGCTGACATCCCTTTTCCATTTACTAGGTATGGGAAATGCCCAGAGTTCTGAAACAAACAACAGTGAGCAGAACAAAGATATAAGTCACTTACTATTTTATTTTTTGCGACCCGTGGACCTTGGCTCTCTTTATCCTACAGAATCTTTACAGTATCCTACAGAAACTTTTTAGTATATTCTGTGAAGCACTTTGACACATCTAGAAGACGTGAAAAGCGCTATATCAAATGCAAGGATTATTATTATTATTATTAATCCATATAGATTATTCACAATGTCCATGTCACAAACAAAGGGCTCTTTTTTAAAGTATGACTGATCTTTAGTCTCCTGCAAACCTACTCTCTTGGCCACTCCCTCTGCTCCACCAACTTCAGCCTGCTCCATCTGTTCTTCTGAATTATCGGCAGGTGAGCCTACCTCCTTAAACGCTTTACAGAAATTCCTCTATGTCATTCTTTTCCTTTTTGCTTTCAAATGACTCCTGAAGATCTATCTCTTTGACTGGGCTTTCAACCACCTCACCCCCAACACCCACCACCATTTCCTCCTAGCTTGGGCTCCCATCAATCAGTGTAAAGATCTTTGAGACATTCTCCCAATGTGAAAGGCACTATATAAGTGTGATTTTTTTTATTGTAGCTGCATCGGAATCTAGTTTACTTGCTCAAGTTTTGACATGGGCCTTGAACCCATAACATTCTGACCCAGAAATGAAAGTCCTACAACAGAATCAGGAATTACTTTTTACTCAAAATTTGGACACAAAATTATCAAAGTTCCACTCATGGCCCATAAAAATAGGTTCACACTTTGATTTGTTTGACAGATACAATCTGATGGCATTACTGAAAAAATAAGAACACTCACCATTAGTGGTCCTTGCACTTGGCTCGGAACATCTGGAAAATCAAATGAGCAAATTTAAGTTAAATTCCCATACCTTGTTCAGTCAACTAGCTATGATTGTTCGTACGTTCTGGACCGATGATGCAGAGGAATTAACAAATTAAATCTATTGCAAGCTAATTTAACAAAAGCATTTTAACAAGTAAACACAAAATGAATAAATGGCTGCAGAAATGAATGATGGCTGATAAGTTACACGTTTAAAAAGGCACTCTAATATGTATGGGAAGCATTCAAGATGTATTTGAACAGAACACAATACCAATCAAAACCTGTCCCTTATAAATGAAATGTGCAAGTGATAATACACAACTATGCAGTACAGTAATGCATACTGACAAAAAACACTCAAACATGTGCCGTCCCTTCCTTTCTGGTGCTCCATGGACTCTTACCAACATTACATAGCAAAGTGAAGTTTAGCCCCTATTTGCAAAGAAAACAAATGGCTGGTTCACATTGTATTGCTCAACTGTGGAATTCCAATCCCCTTAATTGTAGTTTAATCTGAATTAAAACACACATTTTCACCAAATGGATAAATTGAGACTGAACTGCTAATGAAATTCATTAATGAATATTTTTAAACATAGTTTATTTAAAGGAAAAGGAGAACTGTCCAAAGATTATAGATTGTGGCTATCAAGGCATGGTCAAATTGCTGGCTGGATTCTCAGAATACTGCACCAATATTTCACATTGGCATTTGAAATACGAGTTTGTTTTTTCTGTGTACTGACAATGGATAGACGCTCCAATGCATAAATCTTCTTAATGCAAGCATCTGTTATTAATGACCTATACCTTATAAAAGCATGAGGCAGTAGTTATTACTAGAGCCATTGCATATGGAACCTTGTCTGTATATTTGTCAAGCTGCAGAATGCATGATTCTCATCCCCCACCATATCCATGGGTGTTTCCTAAAGATGAATAAAAAGGTACTGTCCTGTTTATTTTTATTTTGAGCCAAATTTTTAAACAACTTTACGAAAATACTACTGGAAGAGTTACATTTTTCAAAATAATGTATGTAAAAGTCTTCAGTTCTGTGATTATTCTAACCCACATCTAACAATTAATATTATGAGTGAAGGTTGTCATACTAAGTATTTCTCCTTCAGTAAAGGGCGAGAAACTGGGGGGGTAAGCCTGCTCGTCTGAGGTTCTCTCAGCATTCGTGGCAAAATGAGAAACATTCCAATTACATTAATTGGGTATTTTGCCATAGCGGCATAGGAATGATATGCTAACTAGACATCAGTGCTAGCTAGCTAGAAGAGGTTTTGAGAATGCTGAAGATAATAATCTTTGCATTTTAATAGCACCATTCAGATCAGGATGATATCTCACAGGGTTTCACAAAATGTATTATGAAGTGTGTTTTGTAGGTGAACCCTGTAGCCAATTTGAGCAAAGCAATATCCCACAAACAACCATGCTGTGAATGGCCAATTTTATCTGGGGGGTGCCACAATACGAGGAAAAGCTCCCTTTTGTTTTCAATTAGTGTTATGGGATCTTAATATCCACCTGAACAGGCAGATGGGACTTCAGTTTAATAGTGTTACTGAGACAGAGAGCTCAAAGTCCCAGGACTTTGAAGCACTCCAGAAATTAGCTCAACCAACAAAACGATATCAGCTCTTGAAATTTTAAAAAATGTATAGAGTATGGGAGGAAAATGCAACATATGATAATCACATCACATGAACCCCCATTCTAAAGCATTCAAAAGGATATCAACACTTCAAAAATGTATTCTACTCTTATGCTCTTATTTTAAAAGAAACACACAATGTAAATATAATAGTGTTGAATACCAAAGAGTCTCAAAATCAGAAGTCTAAATATCCCGTGAAAATGGAGGCATCATTGATATCTTACTACCAAAGACGTAGGAGTCCAATTGTATTTTATTCTCCAGGCCCACTCCCCAATTTACATAAAATTATAAATTAACAATTCAGACCACATAAAAGTATATACAGTATTTCCAAACTGTATTCAATACTATGGAGCCAAACAGCACAATTAATGGAACCCTGATCTGAAGGAAAATTCAAAGATGAGCTAAGTGTTAATTAGATCCATGTTGCACCATCTGAAAAAGGCTGAAAATAAACTGTTTTTAAACAGTTTTTATTCATATATATCTATATATGGATATAAATGTGTACATAGATATATGAACCTTAAGAGTTACACTGAAACATGCAACACTGCACAGATTGTATTGAACACATGACAATAATTCAGTGAATGGCAGGTAAGTGTTGGCCAAGTGGATAATTATTATATTTATGATTTGGAAATATGATTTGAAAGTAATCATGCAAATCCCTGAAGTAGATTGCCACTGTTTCGTCTTACCCCTATAGGACATCAAAAGTCGTTTCTTCACACTTCCTGACACAGCAATAAATGAAGATAACGTTTGTGTAAGATCAAGAGTATTTGCTAACAGTTTACAAACTCATGATTGATCAAAATGGGATACTTTATATGGCATCAGTTCGATTGTAAATATATTCATCACCTACTATAAATAATTAAAAGCACACATTCATGTTATTCCTGAAGCAAATACTATATGTTCTGGATGTCTGCAATTTCATGGATTATACTTAATACTGTGCTATCCAGGCATCCTGTAGCTCAGTGGTTATAGCACTCGCCTCACAAGCAAGAGCCCTGGCCTCGATCCCCGGCAGGGCAAAACATTGGGCAAGTTTGCTTACTCCACACTCCTCTGTTTACCTACCAGTACGTAGGAACCCGGTTGTTAGTCGATTGGCGGATTGCTTTTCCGGGATAATAATCCCTCAAAAAAACAATAATAATTTGGTCACTCAATCCACGACTGTTTGTGGGACACTGCTGTGCGCAATTCGCTACTGCGTTTTGCCCACAAATATACAGTCAATTCACGTTCCAGTATATTCTGTGAAGCGCTTTGAGATGTCTGGAAGACATGATAAGGCGCTATATAAAATGCAAGAATTATTATTATTATCCATATTTAACATTGTACTCATGATTGTCACAATGTGGATTATTAATTTTAGCTGTCTATCAATAGCAAGGTAATTCCATTAGGAAACAAGGAGCAGGGGAAAAGAAGAGGGGGAGAAGGGAATGTCTGACCATTGCATAACTTCCCACAGGGTCTCTAGCTCTGATTACAGAAATGTATCAAATAATGAAGAGTAGAGCATAGACCCAAAGGCAAAACAATTTGTATTTGTACTCGCAGATAACACAAGCCACGAAGTGAATGAAAAATTAATCTGAAGGATTGTTGGCCACAACACCAGAAGAAACTCCCTTCACTATGGTCACATAAATATTGTTCAAACTTGAAAGTAGTATATTGTATGCGTTACCAGTTATATACCTTTCAAGCACATACAATTACTTCATGGGTATCATGGGTACAGTTCAGTGCATGGTCTTTAGTTTCACGTGGATTCTCAGTGCTGGTGAGGGTAATTTGGAGAAAAAAATATAAATACATCTCATCATTCAAAACTGCTCTGGTGTTGGAAATGATGGTCATTTGCTTCCAGCAGTATAAAAATAGCATTAAATGACTTCATCTTACAGTTTTATTACATCTTATATTTCACGTTGACAAGTGTGGTGGCAGTCCATTTCGCTAATATTTCCCCAAGTGATTATTTTCTATTTCTGAGCCAAGATGTTTAGTGCCAGCAGGGCATTCAAATTTGGCACTATATCACTATTAAGACATAGCAAATCTTTCCCCCAACAATTCATACACATATATTCTTCAATTAGAAGGTCACTGAATAGCAAATGGTTCACCCAAGCTGAATTTCCTCTCCTTAACCAAGCGACACTCTATGCCAATTGTGGCTCCTCACTGATATCAGTGATCAGAGATTGAACTTAAAATAAAAATAATAATAGTCATCTAGGCATTTGACACAACACCTTTCACATCAAGAAGATGTCTCAAAGTGCTTCACAGGAATTACTTTAAAATGTAGTGACTGTTCATTTTGTAATCCCTTTTGTACTTTCCTATTCTCTCTGCCTAAGTACCAAGTATGTGATCCATTTATTCACTCTAAAATGCTTAATTTAAATAGTAATATTTGTAAGCAGATTGATAATTGCAAATAAACAAACTGATGTCCAAATCAGCAGGCATTATTTATGAAAACAAAATACCAGGTACATTTTCAATTAGCCATTGTTCGTCCTGAGTAACACTGTCATAATAAAAGTTTCCGCATCATTTACAACAGATCTCAAAAGCACTGGTTCTTCCATATGATTTAATGAATTCAAGGTCTCCCATTGCAGTACAGCACATAATAAAATATTTGCTATAATACAAAATGATGGCTTAATAAAGATGTTGTAATTTTATTGGATTAAAATCCAATTTAAATAATTTCAATATTGCCAGTCCTTAAGCCTTTGCAAATGAGTAGAATTCTTGGGAAAGGGCAGAGAGGAGAGAAATAAAGAAACCAGCAACAATTGTTCATTGGAAATGACCCTGTCATTAATATCAGTCAGAGTATAAATCTGCCACAAAACAGCTCTCTTCCTCCACACTGAAGGAGTAAACAAACTGATGGGAAATAACAATGGGGTACCATCTAAATTTTTGAAATTATACAAATATATTCATTAGAATCTTAAGAGTGTAAATATATAGAATAAAATCTAAATGCATATAGTTGTTGGAAATTATATATACATACACAAAATATATATATAAAGAGAAGTAAAGTACTTGTCTCACTTCCAGTAAGGTTCTACACTGCAATAATTAAAAACCGTATGACAAATGCAATCGTCATGCTCAATTAAACTAACCATCCACACCATTGTGCTGGTTGTAGCCTCGCTTTCCCAGAATGGTTGGAGAGCCGTGGTTTTGAATTGTAAGCAAACGTTTGGGTGATCGGCTGGAGATTCCTGAAGTGAGGCTTGGGGTCATCCTGGTCACCTCTGGTTTCACAGCAGGATGCAATTCTGAAAATTAAATTGCAAAAAAAAATCACCCCAAAGCAAAATCAGAATATTACATCCCTTCAAAACATTTTACCAGACAACAGTTTTGTAAAAAAACAACAAATTATTCTAATTAAACAACAAAATCAATGACTTCTTTGAGCATGAACTCTTAAGCCAGAGTTTGAATAACTCAGATAACCTTTAGGTTGTCACAGGTTAATCATAAACTAATTAATATTACACCATCAAACAAATGTGTCATACCGCAATGAAAAGTTTAGAACATGCAGACATTTCCTGCAAGTTAGCAGGCATCCATCCACTTGTTAAATAATAACCTGTGAAGGAAAAGCATTAAGGATTGTTACCCTAACAGAAATTACATTTATTTTCAATTAATTATTGTAAGTACTTTTGGTTGCTGTTAACACTTTGGCTACCAATGGAGACTTTTAAATACTAAAATTATTACATTGCACTTATTTCTATGACATTGAGGGAAACATGAAAAAGGATGTTTGGAAAGAATACTCCTGACTCAAAACCATTAATGAGTTCTGCCAGGCTTAAGAGACTCATTTCTGGGTTTGCTGACTAGTTCTGTAAATTGTGGGGTTACTATAACCCTGAACATTCGTCCAACTAATACATTAATCAAATTACTTTTTCAATAATGGGGGGGAAGAGCCAGACTTAATATCACTATTGTGATGTTTTATTATAAGTACAACAATCATATGTTCTTGGTTGTTTGCTGACAAACAAATTAGCTTGCCGAGTACTTTATTAACAAAGACTATTATTATTTTAGATAATCATTGTTTGATATAGCACTTTATTATATCTTGAAACATCTCAAAGCCCTTCACAGGGTTTTAATGTGACATTTAGTGACTTTGTATTTTGTAGGCAAATTTACAGCCAATTTGTGCACAGCAGTGTTCCACAAACAACCGTAAAGTATTATCTGGGGAATTCTAGGCCAAGAAATCAAGGGAAACTCCCTTCTATTTTCAAATAGTCCCATGGGATCTTTAATGTCCACTAAAATAAACAGTCACTACACTTTACAGTAAATCTTGTAAAGTGTTTTGAGATGTCCTCCTGTCAGGAAAGACACCAAATCAAATGCAATAATTATTGATTTTTGTACGTGGCTTACCCTATGGTTAATTCCATACATATCATCACAACACTAAACAATAAAACTACTGTACTGTAGTACCCAACCTAATCACACACACTTCTCTAGTGTTGCAATCACAGCTTGGATTAAATGATCTTACTCCATCATTCATTTCAACCATATTTTGCCCACAAATATAGTCAATTCACTTGACAGTATATTCTGTGAAGTGCTTTGAAATGCCTAGAAGACATAAAAAGTGCTACATCACATGCAAGGATTATTATTTTATAACAAAGAGTTTTACTGTTTTTTTTCCAACTTTTAAGCTTCCAAAAGAAAATTTTATAAGGTGCAAGTAAATACTTAAAAGCACTCACCTAGATACTTGATGACACTCGTCAAGGGCTTCCTCGAAGCAGCTTTGATATTCGATGGTATCTTTACTGCCTCTTGCAATCTAGTTGTATCTGTAGATGAAAGAGGAAACACATCTAATGTTCCATGAAAAAATGAACTCCCAACAGAATCTTATCATTTTAAATGATGATATTCCTTAAGACAAATGGATTTTAAACAATTGGATATTATGCATACACAATTTTTGTTTCTAAAGCCAAACATACACAAATTTATTTTCTCATTAAACAACAATGGAATAACGATGAGTACTGACAAACACATTCTATAAATCTTAGGCAAAAATAACCAATTTTCACATCTATATATAAGCATGATTATTCATTCATTCAGAAATCCAACTCTGAATAAACTACTTCAAACAATCCTGAAGCATGTTGACATTTGAGTTGAAATCTTCCTCGATGGATAACTGGGGAAGATGTTTGATTACAATTCTTCAAGATCAAAAATTGAAGACAATGGAATGGAACAGAAATTATTTGATTCATTGCAAGTTATGCTTGGGTTGGAACAGTCAACTGTATTAGATTCAAAAATACCACAACTTTAATGCAGGGGGAAAGTATTAGAATTTTTTTGATTTATTTATATCTTTCTTGAGATTAACAGTTTCAATGGCATATTTTATAATATTATATAAAAAATTTGATTCTTGATAGGATAACTAAGCTTTGTTCAGTGTAAAGGTGAATAAATCCAATTGGTATCCAATGAGTAACAGATTTTATATTCTTCTCAGAATGCTGAAAATGAGAGTTTTTGTTCCTACAATAATGAATGTGGTAAAAAAAAAGCTGGACACTACAAGTTAGACGCTCCCATTGTAATGTGGAATCAACTCAAATCACTGATGAGAAAGGTAGGTTTGGAGACAGGCATTTACTAACACATCTAATTACCAGTAAAGTGTAAACCAGTTAGTAGATGCATCCATACTTTACTTTCAATTGGTTCTCTCCACCTTGGCTCCAAGGTAACATATTTGGCAACAGAATGTCAGAATCAAGCCAGCCCTCTATGGCGGTCTCAGTAGTCTGGTTACTGAGCCAGGTGGGTCCGCAGTAATCCAGGCATTGTTGATGACAACACAGTCCTGGCCCATCGGCAGGACTTGGAAGGGCAGAACAGTCACTGGGGATAGGAAGTCATCCCGCTCAGCTCCTGTTAACCCTGCAATCCAAATTCCTAATAGGTAGAGTGGTCCTTGCAGGACAATCAGTGGGAAAGCTTGCCAGACAGTGCTATCAATGGCAAACTCTAAGGTTTTAGCTGGTTAGATTCCAGCAGTACTCCAACACACACACTATGGCGTCCCCAAACATTGGCTCCAAAAAAAATAGTACCCAATACTTTTCAGAATTAGGTAAGCAGGACGCCTCCTTCCAGGGAGAGAATCTGCATTCCATTCCAATCAATCTATTTCTGGGATTTCCATGTGTAGGTGGGATGCATGAAATTCCCAATTTTGTTTGGATACTCTTTTGCATGATGATGGGTTTCTGCATTCGTCAGACACCTGACTGTCCAAAAAAAATCTCTCCACCATCACTCACTTTTGCTTCAAGTAGGATGCCAATACCATCCCTCTACTTTATTATTCCATTTATTTTCTTTTAGGTTTACTAAGGTACTTGATCCTTATCTATGCTCGATATTACCAAACAAAGATTTAATCAATCTTCAAAATCCCATTGGTACACAATAATTCATTTATATGCTTTCAAGTTCTTTCTATCCTGACCCAAACATGAGTACAATTCAGCTAAGAGGCAGAAGTTTAAGCCCTAAACATATACCTCCATAAAATAAGTTCCATAAGTAAAATGGATTAAATGTTGATAAGAATGCGTATTAAGCACCGTAAGATGAATTAGTATTTATCTTTTGAATTAGTTACTTTGTCTTCATGAACCCTCCATTAATCTTATTAATTAAGTGATAAACTAAGAGAGTCAGCAGGAATGAGGGCCATGGCTCATTATTTGACATCAGCATTCAACAATAGTGTAGTTTCATAGAAGTGAACTCAGCGTTACCCTGCTGCAAGATAGAAAGAGCTCTGATGCATCCATTTTTTACACCTAGTATTTTCAAAACCAAAACACTGACTGTATCAGCGACAAAGAACACTCATCCACAACTTTATTCCATTATTTGCAAGTCATCAGACTTTTGATGTTTCTTTACATTAATGAATAGGATAAAATTGTGAAAAGAAAAAGAAAGAAACAGCAACAAATTCTCTTCTGAATAAATGTTTCACTGAGGCATTAGGTTGAAAATAACATTGTGCTTCAGCAAGTTTCTCTAAACTTGACTGATTCGTCGCATTGATTAGCATATAAGAAAAAGGCCAAATGTGGGAAAAACAATTGCAATATCAGAAAGAAGCGACACATCAAATGCCATTAGACCACTGTACTTGAAACTATTCAACCAGTGAAGGAAATGCACATTTGATTCCTGGATTTGCTTAAATCTTACAACATGCCTGGAAAAGATACCAATTCACCATTGTGCATATTTGCAGACACAAAATAATCAAAACCCAAACATATTAACAGCGGAGCACTGGTGAATATTACAGACATATCTGGATTCAGTATTTATTACTACAAAAAGTAATAAAAAGTGGGCCTGTAAAATCAATTGCTATAGTTTTAAGGGGGTTATGCAAACAGTTGATAGACATTCTTGAAAATAAATTCCAATTAAAAAGCATTTGCATTCAATATGTTTACGGTGTAAAAATTTGCTGTTCTATCAAATTGAAATTGCTTTACTCGCTTTTGAAATGATAAACTATCCCATTACAACTAAATGTGTACATCATAGCTAGAAATGCTAATTATCTAAATGTCATAAACCACATTTCTATTATAATAGTTGATCTCATCTCTTTATAACGTGTAACATATGTTTTTCCAACCAACTGTATTGCAATGGTTAGTACTTTTAATTAATTCAATGAACAAAAGTGAACCATCAAAATTATTTTACAATCAATTAATCAATGGCTAAACATTATTTTGTCCAAGAACCCAGGCAATTGAGTGAAATGGATTAAATAATAATAATAATCCTTGCATTTGATATAGTGCTTTTCACGTCTTCGAGACGGTTCAAAGTGCTTCACAGAATATGCCATAAAGTGAATTTGACTGTATATTTGTGGGCGAAACACGGCAGCCAATTGCGAACAGCAGTGTCCCACAAACAGTTGTGGATTGATTGACCAAATTATTATTTTTTTTGAGGGATTATTATCAGGCATGTGGAGCAAGGAAACTTTCCCATGGTTTTGCCCTGCCGGGATCGAACCCAAGTCTCTCGCTTGCGAGGCGAGTGCTCTAACCACTGAGCTACAGGACTCCACGTGAAAGTGTGTCATGCCACTGGTATGAAATCAGAAATCAGATGGAATTCATTTTTAATGTAAATATTCAATTTGCATGTGATCTGGCAACCACAACGATAACCATATATAGACAGGAAAAGAGCACAATTACCCACAACAAAGGCAATCTAGTAACTGAAGATCCATACGACTGCTCTTCTGCCTGCATTCAGGCCCTACAATGGCACCATTTCCACATGTGCAACCTGTCACATAAAACTGAAGCTGATTAGAGCAGCTCTAAACTATTCCGGATCATGCGAGGAACAGAATGTAGAAAGGAAGGCAGGGAAACAGTGTTACCAGCTGTGCGACTGACTATATCTCACTCACAATAAAGATACAGACAATCCCACAATAAAATGTAGGTACAGCATTTTTCTTGACCAACACTCGCTTGGCTGTCTCATTTACAATCATGATTCTGAAAGCTAATAGGTTTTCTTCGGTGGCATAACCAAAATTTTAAATTCTCTTATTGTAGAATTCTTTCACAATTCCAAGATCTCCAGATTGGCAAGAACAGAGCAACAGTAATGTGCTCAAGGATCTCCATTTCCTACTAGGTTTTCTCTTTTTCCCAAAAAGAACAGAGGCATTTGTTGGGAGAATTTTTTCTTCTAAAAACATGCACCAAAAGTTTTCAGTATTCTTGGAATTTGATTTGGTTTCTGTAAAACACTACATACCTGACAACAAAGGATGATCATAAATGGATTGCATCAAATGTCAGTGATTTATTTTGTAAAGGTTTCAAACCTACCCATATTACTGNAAAAAAATCAGCACATTAATAAATTATACTCCTAACAGTACCTCTTCTTGGCAGACTGCATAAATTGTTGACAATGTGCACTTGAAGTACCCAATTAAACCATTAAATTACATATATCTACACAATATTCCAGCAAAAATGAGGAGCTCCTATGCAGTTTAACACATTCAAAAACTACATAGAATTTATCTGTAGCATAAGATAAGACATTGAAGAAGGCCATTGTGTCAAACAAATTGGTTGTTTTTCAGTTTCTTATGTGACAAAATACCAACTTGTTCAAAATAATTATTTCCAACTCCCAAGTCCCGGAACTTTATATTATATTGCCAATGAGCAGCTTTTACATGGAACAAAACGTTCAAAGATGGTTTGTAAAGGCGATGATGCATGCACTATTTGAAAGAAAATATGCATGGTTCACCACAGCACAAATGAAAGCAAATAATCAGAACAAAAACACAGCTAGCATAATGCACAGTTAGTATAAGGGCAATTCACAATTTCCTACCAAAAGATTATCAACCATATGCTAAAACTGCATATCTTTTGCTATGTCTAGGGAATATGCAGGTAATTTAACATTAAAGTTGGAAATTTTCTGCAGCAATCTGTTTGGGCAACAGCTTGCATTTTTAGACATCTATTATATTTTCCACCCATCAAGGAATATTTTGCATTTATTATACAATACACTTGATTACCAAATCAAATTCTTGTGGAAAAGATCCACAGCGTTTAAAATCATCTCGTAAAAAAGTTTCCTTCATACAAATTAATTCATTTCAGGGCATCCTTTCTCATCAGATTATATTTTTTGGCCTCGTGTTTTAGGTAGTCAAATCTGACACAAGGCTGCTGAAGGCAGACTGCATTCTTAATCACTTTTTATAATCCAAAATGGCTTGAAGCAGCAAAAGCAGCAGATGTGAAGCACAATCTAATTAACTCGAAGGAAGAATGTCTGCACAAACATTGAGGTGGCAGGCGGCACCCCCAATCCCCCACCCAGTTGATAAGTTCAGTTTTACTCATCATGGCAAAGGACTTTTAAGAAAAATAATATCAGGAAGACCAGAAATATGATGCATTAGCAAATCTAATTTTTTTTTGTATGATGAAACTGCAATTCGCAGTACTATGATTTACTCATATAAATCCTTGACTGATGGAATCTCACAATTGGTCATACCTTGTAATTACAAGTGAAATACTATATCAAACTATGATTGCACTATATTTGTTAAAGTTTTAGATAATATAAATTGGATTGTTATGGAGGTGTAGGATTTTTTTAAAAAGCAGTTCAATGAAATTATGCCGTTCAGCGAGAAAAATATTTATTTATGGTAATTCAAAATATTACTTTAAATTGTAAATATGAGTTATCGTATGAAGCTAGATTGTTTAGTTTGGAAAATCACACCATAGTGTCAGATATTCATTGTTTAACTTTATTTTGTAACAGACAGGCTTCCTTGAAGTTGTTGACAGAACAACAGATGCAGCTATGAAAGGTTTCTGAGCAAAATAAAAAATCCACACAAATAAATAATGTAGTAAGTCATAAGTATCATTTATTGCAAATAATAGGACAGGAAATGGTTGAAAGCATGGAAAATCGAAGCTAGGAATTTAAAAAACTCTTACATTCTGCCTTAATGGCAGCACAGTTAATTGGAACAAATGGTCGTCTTGCCGCCTGTTTGAGTTGCAGAATATCTCTGCAGACATGCCTGGCAAGTTTTGTAAGACGTGTTGTCTGCAGGAAAAATGACTGGCGGGTTTTCAATGTGGACTTCGGACTACCGGTGCTGTGTATTGGCAGACATTGTCCTGGCTGACCCTGACTTCTTACATGTGGCTCCTATTTGAAAAATACAAAAAAGTAGAAACAAAGCATCCAGGTCAGACAGAAAGCTTCATTCGTGCTACAAAATAAGAAACCTGAATGTCTTAATCAAGAGTGCTGCATTTAGAATAAAATCAGAGACTGATGGAAATCCACAGCAGTTCAATCAGCATCTGAAAGAGGAAGATGAGATTGACGCTTCATCAGAATAGAAATCATAACTTCAGGTTGCGAGGGGGGCGGGGGAAACCAATTAGAATTTAGAGAATAAAAGTACTGATGAAATACAGAAAGAGGCAGTTAAACGATTAACTACAAAAAAAAGGACAAGTTTAAAAGAGTGGTAAGAGGAAACAAAGGATGTTGGATAAAGTATAAAATACTACGTATTTTAAAAAAAAATTAAAAAGCTGGAGAATGGGTGGGAAATGGAGAAGCAAACTACAAGCTAAAGACGTGGAGCTGTAACCTGAAGCGTCTCATGAGACAAGAACCACACGGTCAAACATCAGTAGACATGTTGCTGGTCTCTTGGGAAATTCCATTTCAACTCTTCCTCCCACGTGCATTTTGATCTCCAGCGCTTTAAGACGTCCTCCCGACATGAAAGGCGCTATACATGTGCAATCTGTTGTTGTTGATCTTACTTTCAATCATTGTGTTTCCACGCTGGTTCAACCAAGTGCAACACAAACCTCAGGAGCAGCAACTCCTCCTTGTCTTACAGCTGCTTAGTGACATGCTGTGATTTACCAGCATTTTCTATTTTATATTCAGATTTCCAACATTCAGCCAACACTAGATTCCAACAGTCCTCTATTTTTTTGTGCCAAATCCATGAACACACAACTATGATATAACAAAACATTGTACAAAGTCTTATACGTAACACTGGTATATCTACCAAAGGCACATCTTGTGAAGAGAGTCATTAGAAAAACTGAAAACGTTCATCAAAAGAGTTCATTCTTTTCATAAAGGGATCATTTATTAGATTTTAGATTTTAATTTGCTCTAGATTTAATTCTTAGTGAACCTAGTGACTGACCTGCTGTGAGAAGTAGAGTTGACAGTTCGGTGATAGAATGTTTATGCACATGTCAGGAGAAATGTCTATTCAAAGATGGGCTATTAAAGCACTAATAAGTTCATAACAAACCCAATACAATAATAATTAAGATGACACTTATAGTATACTCCAATATGGTCTTTGGGAGCAAGGAATACTACAGTGAGAAAATTTAACATAGTTAATAGTTTTTCTATTAACAAGGCATCCAGAACAAAATCTCATGTAAGTGTTACCTAATATGAAGTGAAAACTTCACGATTAACAACTATAATAATAATAATCCTTGCATTTGATATAGCATTTTTCACGTCTTCTAGATGTCCCAAGGCGCTTCACAGAATATACTGTAAAGTGAATTGACTGTATATTTGTGGGCGAACGCGGCAGCCAATTGCGCACAGCAATGTCCCACAAACAGTCATGGATTGAAAATGACCATTTTATTATTATTTTGTTTTTTTGGAGGGATTATTATTAGGCGTGTGGAGTAAGGAAACTTGCCCAACTAGCACTATCTTGAAATCTTATTTAATTAGTTCATGCACTTGAAATGAGTAGAGTTGTAGAATGTACCAGAAAACAAAATTTATGGAGAGTAATAATGTGAAATGCTTTAACAGAACTCCACTGTGGTAGAAACAGGAACTCGTCCATTAGTCTACAAACCACATAGGTATTTTCCTCAGGATATCAAAACTGTGAAGCATCTTATCTCGCCTTTCTCTTCCATTCCTACAATCTACAGGGTTTTATCACCACTCAACCACTACCTCTTGATTTATCTTGTTCTTTCTCTTAATTTTATCATCCTCTGTGGTGTCTTTTAAGTGTTCCAAGATGCTACCCCGCATGAATGGAACTATATAAATGCAAGATGTTATCCTGTATTATGGGTCTTGGCCCTTCACCTAGATTTCTCAATAAGAAAAATAAACTCCATAACTAATCATAAGAATCAACAACATCAATTCAAAATTTGTTACCGAAACATTGTGCGTAGGTGAAACTTTTTCTCCTTTTTCTCCTTCTGTCCGAGTCGGCATTTTCAGACCCCCATATTTCTTCCAGTAACTCCAACATAATGCGCAAAGTCTACAATGCATAGTAGAAGGCCCCCAGGAATACCATGGCTGCGACTGTATGGCTGAAAGAAAGAGAAGAATGCAAAGAAAAAGTCCATGATCCTCAGTAGCTTAGCCTGTTAAGTATATTGCAACGGCAGTAAAACTTGGGCAAAAACCCCTCAGTATCAGAAAGTAACAACTTTTCTAATTGTGAAATCTATGTAACGCTTTCTGAAGTTCAACTCATACTCTCTGATGTTAAAATAAACAAATCTAGTAATGCTTCTTCAATTCGCAGAAGCACCATTACTGTAATATTATCTGTAAAGAATAACAGAAGCATATACACACTCAAAAAACACTCACTAGGCATTTAAAAAATTGGGAAAGAGAAGAGGCAGACATCTACGGCAAGCAAAATTGATGGCAGGCATACAAGGTTAAACACGATCAATCAGGGTGAATACCCGATTTAAAATACACATTAAACATAGTGTATATTGAGCAATAAGGCAAACTATTTCTAACATAGCAATTGCAAATGTAGTTATATTTACTACGCAAATGGCAGAACTTATCTTCATATTGTCTTGTCTTTCATAAGCTTTTCATACTCCTCTACCTGCCATTCTTGCTCAACTGGCACGGGTCTGCTGCACATCTCTCATTCCATCCGCTCCACAATAAGCGGCTATGCTTTCACTCTGACCCAAATCTCTGGAACTTTTTGCCTCAATCCCTCCATATTGAACCCTCTCTGCCTATCTTCCAATCACACCTGAAGACTTTCCTCTTCAACCTTTGATCACTAACCCCACCCCACCCTCAACACTTTCCAGTTCGGTGTCAAGCCATGCCATTGTCGAGCGCTCTGTCATGCAACTCTCATGAAGGGCGTTATATAATTGCAAGTTGTTGTTATTCATATTGACGAATACTTGCATACCAGTTCACAGAGGTGCTATTTCCTCCTGCATGTCATATTGTGTACTCTCAACAGTATTGGTGATGTATAAATAATTACGTTTTAAATACTCACTGAAACAGCTCTCACAGGGCCGGCCTACAGCAGAGTTCGGGGTTTGGTAAAGCACTCCTCCAACTGGACCATTCACCACAGCAGGCTTTCCATTACTGCTCAATATTTGATTGGGGTTAGGTTTATTGCTACAAACAATTGAAAAATTATACTTAAAAAATTATATTAAGCAGGGGAAAAAAATAAGATGCTTCTTGAGTTGGTCAGGAATTATAAAATGAAAGACAAAATATAGTTTGTTGATGACTTATGAGTTTGTGTTAAAATATATCCAACAATACACATCTGTAAATAAATGGATCCAAATTATTCTCTCTTTAATCTAGCTTTAAAACCCAACTTTGAAATGTTTATGTAGTCATTGAATTCAAATGATCGCCAAACAAATTAATAGGTTGCATTACATGTTAAATTCAATCTCAGTGGAGTACCTCTGTAAGAGCAAGACACCATACACATGTCTGTAACTAAACAACGATTGGTATGGTGGATGCTCTGAGAACATTTCTACTATTCTGGGATATGGAAGATCTTTACACCAAATGTCCAGCTTGGGAGAAAAATACAATGGGATGAGTTTAGTGATGTAACTGATATTTAGCATATCAAATGTAACCAGCTGTGTGTGGGATCACCTCTCCCCTTCCCCCCACATTCTTCATATTGTCTTAATATTCTTAATGGCAAAATCTTTGCAGCAATCATCTCCTGTTGAATTTCCACCACTGGTTAGCAGGCTACTGGAATATATTTGTATAGAAAATTAATATTCGAAGCTGAATCAGTTATATTATTCCACGACCATCTAGCGTGATACTAAAACACCAGAAATTTCTAGAGAAATGGAAGAAATAGTAAGGGTCTCACAAAATGCAGATTGTGTTCACAATATAGAAAACATCAGTTGCGAGCGAAATAATTAAAAGAAGCCACTTGATTTAGGTCTGAATCAAATCTTCCTCTCAGTCGACGACCTGATTCTTGCCTGATGAAATAACAGCCTTGAAACATCCTTGGAGTGTTTATACCATATATTATGCCAATACAAGGAAATGGCATGCTTCAAATCACTTCTATTTAATTAGCTAACTGCTCCACTAGTACCTAGTACAAGATTTTTAATTGTTTCATCTACGCAGTATAAACAAGTTTCACAGTGTACATTAACGGTTCCACCAATATCTAGTACTAGATTTTTAATCATTTCACCCACACAATACGTACAAACAGGTTTTGTGGTGGCAGTTTTCCACTTACCAGACAACAGGAATCAAAATCTTGTGAAGTGATCATTAACAGCCTTTGTTCAGCAGCTGATGTCAGGAAGTTACCTGCTGCTAACAGACATAGAAAACCTGTGCCATTTTAAATGTGTTAAATCACATTGTCCTCTTCTGAGAGGAATTAACACCACCCAGAAACTAACTTGCCATCTATTGAATCACTAGGAAATACCTTTTTATAAAATGCCCCAAGAAAGAGGCTCATATTGTGTCAAACATGGTGATTTCTAACAGGATTTTTTTTAAATAAGAAAACTGAGTGGAGAGTCGTCCTGGTCACCACAAAAAAGTCATGCCAACTTGCAGGAACTCTGCTCTGATGCCGATTGCATTGAGTAGAGTTCCTGTAAGTCAAATTGCCGTACTTCCAGTTTTGCATTAGAAATCACTAAAAATTCTATTTAATTGTTGTTGTTCGGTTCTCATTTGTTTTTGCTTCCCACACACATCATCACCTGGTGGCAAAGTGAGAGACTGTCCAGTGCCTGTGTGTAGTTTATATAAGTGAAAAATGTACACCGTGAAACATGGCTCAACTGTCAGAAGAAATAAAGAAAAATTCATTTGATCTAGAAACTAGTTCCTAGTATTTTGCATGGAAGAAATGGTGTTTTGGACTCCAAATATTGTATTTATTAGTAGTCTTTAACACTGTTGTGTTAAAGTTTAAGATTGCGCCAAATTTTGGAAAATGCTTATATTAAGTTTTGGATGCAGGTTTCCCAGTTCTTATAAAGCACTAATTGACAGGTTTGGCTGCAGCCAATCACAAGAAGAAGCAGAACTGAGGAATATCTAAAATACATAGTGCAAAATATGTAGGTAATGGGCTCCAGGTGACCTCTCACCCATGAAGTTGTCTCTACCAAAATAGGCATAAGATTACATGTAGGAGCAGGAGTAGGCCATTCGGCCCTTCGAGCCTGCCCCGCCATTCAATCATGGCTGATCTTCTAATCTAACTCCAGCTAATAACCTGACCCTGCCTTAACCCCATATTCCTTAATCCCTTTTGCAATAAGAAATATATCTATCTCAGTCTTGAATACGTTCAAGGACTGAGCATCAACAGCCCTTTGGGGTAGTGAGTTCCATACATTCACCACCCTTTGAGTGAAGAAGCTCTTCCTCAACTCAGTGTGAAAGGGTTGGCCTCTGATTTTAAGGTTGTGACCCCTGGTTTTAGTTTCTCCAACCAGGGGAAACAATCTCACACTATCTACTCTATCATGCTCTTTGATGATCTTATGAGTTTCTATAAGATCCCCTCTAATTCTTCTATATTCTAGAGAATATAGGCCCAAATTGGTCAGTCTATCCTCATAACTCATCCCCTTCATCCCTGGTACTAACCTAGTAAATCTACGCTGCAGCCCCTCCAAGGCAAGTACATCCTTCCTTAAATAAGGAGACCAAAACTGCACACAGTATTCCAGGTGCAATCTCACCAGGGCCCTATACAGTTGCAGCAAGACTTCCCTACTCTTATACTCTAATCCTTTCATAATGAATGCTAACATATCGTTCACCTCCCTAATTGTTTGCTGCACCTGCAGACTAACTTTCTGTGATTGGTGTACAAGGACACCCAAGTCCCTCTGGACGCTAACACATTCCAATCTCTCCCCTTCTAAAAAATAACCCGCTCTACTGTTTTTGCTACCTAGGTGGATGACTTTGCACTTCCCTACATTGTACTTCATTGACAAACAAAGAATGCTATTTTGATTAGACATTTTTGAAATCTGGAAACTAGCTTGGCTCAGTGGGAGCACTCTCGCCTCTGAGTCAGAAGGCTGTGGCTCAAGCCTTACTTCGAACTTGGAATAACATAGTCTAAGATGATACTCCAATGCAGTGCTGGGAGTGTGTTGCATCATCATAGATGCCTTCCTTCAGCTGAGCTGTTACACCAACCTCCTGCCTCCCCTTCAGGTGGAAGTTAAAGATACCGTAGCACTATTCGACAAGAGAAGGGAGTTTCTCCTGGTGGCCTGGCCAACAATCCCCAAATAAAAAATTGGTCACTTACTCCATAGTTGTTTGTGGGATATTGCTATGTGCAAACTGGCTGACACATTTCAACAACAAGAACCTGCATTTATATAGCGCCCTCTATGCCGGGTGGCGTCTCAGGGCGCTTAACAATGGCGGAACCTGAGGCCGAGCCAGGGGGAGGGGGAAGTTGTGACCTGAAGATGGGGAAGGAGAGGGCGAGGCGAAGGAGTTGAGGGAGGGAGTTCCAAAGTTTTGGGGCATAGTGGCTGAAGCACGACCACTAATGGTGGAGCAGAGGATTCAGGGGACACGAAGGAAGCCGGATCCAGTAGAGTGGAGGCAGCGAGTACTACTGTGGGGATAGAGCAGGTTAGAGAGATAGGGGGTGCCAAGGGATTTAAACACCAGAGTGAGGATCTTGAAGTCGATCCACTCTGTGTCAGGGATCACCCACAAAATACACAGTCAATCCACTTTACAATATATCCTGTGAAACTCAGACATCTCAAAGATGTGATACAGCGCTAAATCAAATGCAAGGATTATTATTATTATTGCTACTATTACAACTAGCCAATGTAGTAGCAACTTTAAAATAGGAAATATTTTTGATTTTACCTCTTGAATTGTACAGTGGCTTCAAATATACTTACTATGTTGGAATGTACACTTGTTTCAGTTTGCTCTCTGCTTCAGCTGCTTTGAGTCGTTTCTGAAACACAAATAGAAATGCAAAGTTATTCCATGGACTAATTTCACCTGTTTTTATTCTAATCCTTTCCTGTGATAGGGAGCCCCACTATAGGCCAATAGGATCATTTTTCCAATGATGTACGGAAATCTGTACGAAATGTACGTAATTGTTATTTGCACTAACATCTGGAACGTAATGCTCAGATATCACTAGTTTTAGTATTCTAACACAAATATGTGTGCAACAAGAACCTTGCATGAATCACGTGCCTATTGCAATCAACAAATAAATACCTGATATTATTGCACTTTTAAATAAATTAACTTAAGTGTAGATAACTCAAATCAGGTTTATGGAATATAATTTGGGAAAGCAATCCATTTGATTTTCCTCAGAATACTTCAACTTTGCATGGTTGGATTCAATTAATGTAGGTTGCATGCAAAACAATTTTGTAATTTGCCTGTATTTGAACATACGAAGGAGTTACTAATGCAGTAAATTTGAAGCAGTTCAAGAAACAACAGCAAATACACAAGTAATTTTCCTACCTGCTGTACATATCGATCTGTAGTTTTCCACATATAGTAGTACTCTATAATACTGGTGAGTGACTTCCATGGCAGCTGTTAAAAAGAAACAAACTCTCTAATGTATAATAATTGTAAGATTGACAGACAATTCTTGTGGTGTGCACTAACAATATAGTTTAAGCGCATTAAGAAAGAACAATACTTTCAAACTTGTTACATAGTAGTTACATTTTAAAATTTAGAAATACAAATCTGTAGCCTCTGACTCACCCAATACCTCACCACTTTCAATGGTTTGTCTAAAGGCCTTCTTCTTGGACCGCACCTTCGGTCATCTTTCCTCTCTTCACCCTCCCCAGCCCCAGCTCAGGTGCTAAGTCAGGACTATTAAGAGCCTGAGGACATCCTCCCGACATGAAAAGTACTATATAAATGTACATTTATTATTATATCGTTTCTTTTTTTTCAAATCCTAACACAGATATAGCGGAATCTGCCTTTAAGATTATAGAAAACCAGCATAGCAATATATGATTTAGCATAAAAATATACTCACTCAATTAACATGCAATTTAAAGGACTATCATTCCGGTTATAACTAAATTACACATTCCTAGCAGAAATATTAGCATTTATTCATCCATTGTTTAGGCAATATGGTCAGACAATGATTAGTTAAATGTTCAGTTACTGATATCTGACAACACAAGGTAATAACTAAAAAATTGTTGGGTTCAGTCTCCCAAAGCAATTTCTACCAGGAACATTTAGCTTCCAAAGTGAAAACAATCATGATCGAAAAGGCAGCCCACATTTGGGCAGTCATATTGTTGAAGAATATTTTGTCCTTAAGGTATTGTTTTGATGCTTTCATTTGTGAGCGATATTGATAGTAGGTACTGGAACAGTTTCTAACTGCAGACCCCGAGATTCATCAGGATCATAACAACCCTCAGGAGAGTGGGGGAGTTATAGAGGAACCCAATGCTTCATTTCCGAACCATGCAAACATGCAAAATATTATTTGCACAGTCGTAAAATGTTCTTGAGCAAACTGCTCACTTGCACTCATCTGATCTAGACCTTGAAGATTTTTTGAGGCATTAAATAATAGCAAAGAGTCATTGCAGATTTTCAGAAGATGTCACCGACTGCAACTGAACCAATTGAAATAGGACAGAGTGGCTGAAGTACAGGCACTGAAGGTATCAATTGGAGCAAATCAACATTGATGACTAACTGAAACTAAAACTTTGGAAATAATATTTTAAATACTATTACAAAACTGTTAGCAAACTGCTGTCCGCTAGAATCCAATGATTTGCAGAATATAACAACTCAATTGAGAACTTTTCTGATATACACGGTGACCAAAATGTCTTATTTTTCAGCTACCCTAATCTCTATAAAGAAAATCATAATTTCTTTAAGACGTATTAGACATTGTAATGGTATCATGACGTTTTTGTCACCCTATACACTTCCACTAATAATGAAAAACCAGATCTAAGAGTCTAGTACTGAAAGAGTTTCACAACTTAGGAAAATCACCTAACTAACTTTCTATATATATATAACTGGATATAGATTGCAGGGTAATTTAAACAAGCACCATTCCCACCCTGAGAGAGTTTCCACAATAGATTTATATTTCACATAACGTTTGGTAACAGCCCTATCACCCCCATAAAATTCCATCCATACAGGCAATTACAGGGCAGAAAACAACGATTTGGCCATTTGTAAAATTATAGTTATTGTACTACACTAGAAAAATCCTGACATCAGAAGGGGTACAGCAGAGGGCAACTAATAATAATAATAATCCTTGCATTTGATATAGCGCTTTTCACGTCTTCTAGACGTCCCAAAGCACTTCACAGAATATACTGTAAAGTGAATTGACAGTATATTTGTGGGTGAACGCGGCAGCCAATTGCGCACAGCAGTGTCCCACAAACAGTCGTAGATTGAAAATGACCAATTTATTATTGTTTTTTGTTTTGGAGGGATTATTATTAGGCTCTGTGTGGAGTAAGGAAACTTGCCCAAGGTTTCATCCTGCCTGGAATTGAACTCGGGTCCCTCGCTTGCAAAGCGATTGTTCTAACCACTGAGCTACAGGACTCCACTAAACAATGTCTGAGTTTAGGAACTTGACCTATAAGAGGCTACGGAAACTCTGAATGCTTTTGCATTGAGAAAAGAAGTCTCAGGAATAAAATATATTGAACCTTCAAGATTATAAGGGGTTTACAGCAGCTGAACCCAAATATGTTTGACACAGCCATAAAGGTACACAGGTGGAGGGGCTCAAGATCAGAAGAGGGAAGATGGACAGACAGTTTAGATATTGCTACTTTACACAATGGGTGGTGATTATATAGCAGCCCACAGCACAAGTAATATTAATGTTTTGTTATGATATGTTGACCAATACTGCAGACTATAATCAACAAAATCCTAACCAGTGCCTTGTGAGGCAACTCCTTCAAGGCCTGTCTCAAAACCTTCCTTTTCAACTGAGCCTTTCCTCCTTCACCTCCCTTGCCCTCTCTGATCCCAACTCACAGCTCGGGTTCAAACCCCTCATTGTCCAGCATCTTAGGACTTCCTCCCGACATGAAAGACGCTATATAAATGCAATTTGTTGTTGTTGTAATATCACTTCTTTGGACTCCCTTTGCTACTTCATTGCAGCATCTAGAGAGATGAGTTCAATAATTCTTCCATAATTACTTCAAATTCACTGTGTGCGATGCATGGCTGTTCCAACCAGCACGTATCTCTTCATCAATATCTTATTCCCATGCTAACAGTTTCAAATGTACTACATTTAACTAAATTTACCACCTATTGTCTCTATTTCCAAAGAAATCCAAATCTTTTTTGAATAAAATTGCAGAATTCGTCATTATTTGTTCTGCCTTCAATTTTAGTATCATAATTAAGGTAACTTTAAAACAATCTTTGTATAAATAATTAAACTATAATTTAGAATTTTGATACACATTGCTAAGCAAACTTGAACAGAATGTTGGTTTACACGCAATGCCCTCACATCAGCATTCACAGAAATCTATAAACAACTGGTAATAAATAATTAAACTTTGAATTAACAGCAATTCTTGAGGAGATGGCTGAGGATTTCTGAATTGTATACACATGTAATTATGATACTTGCAGTTTTGCCTTCCTTACCCAGTAACTTATTCAGACCCTTTTGTCTCAACTTTCTTGCCTGCACATGTGCCAGTTGATACTGTGAAATGCTTTGGAAGGTTTACTGAAAAAAATCTCATAAACAAACAATATCAGAAAAAGATATCAAAACCATTTAAAAATCTTGCCAATGTAGATCTTTGGCTCGTTAGGATTTATGAATGATTATATGGTAAAATATATCACCACTTCAAATGTTGCTCTGCTTGAAAATCCTTATTTCCCTCCCCTTTTCTTGTTCTCCTGTGTAATTCTAAAAGTGTGTATCTCCCAGCCTGTTACTTTGCGTTCACTTGTCAGTGAATTATTATGTGACATTTCTCCTCAAAAGAACACTGGATTATCTAATGTCTTTTAACTGCAACTTACTCATTCTCATTTCATAAATATAATGGGCAGCAATTAGAGAAAGAAACATTTCCAGGAAATAAGGTTCTGCCAGTCGTGGGGAAGGAACATCTTTCTGTACTTAGTGTCAATGATCAAGAACCAAAAGGCCATGTGCTTAAAATCTAGGTCAACTTCCAACTTCATTCCCCTAATCTCAGAAGAGTATTCACTGGATTCATTAATTCTTGCCCATCACCCACCTTGTGGCCAAATTACAAGTTTTTCTGGAATTGCATTCAACACAAACCAAGTTTAGAATGCCCAAAATTATATTGCAGAATTCTTACACTCAACAAAGATAAAACTGTTCCAGATATGATCACCTGTGCCATTCAATGTCTCTAAATGCATCAACAATTTGCAGGATAATAGCCTTAGTAACTACTTACAAAGTCTTGTCGTATGTCATTAAAATCCTTTCCATACTTTTCCAATGCATCTTCAAAAAGGCTAGCTTCAGATGCTGACCAATCTTCCATCTCATCTCTGCAGAGAACAGGACCACCCTGTGGCACCAAAATGCTGATGGCATTTGTTAAGTCATAGTTATATTTGTGTAAAGTGTCCATTGCGTGGAACTAATGAGTAAAGAGAATAAAAATTGTAACAGTTTAACTGCTAGAGAGAAAGTTGTCCAGGTCAGTGTTGTCCAATATAAATTGCTGCTTAGCTACAGATGTGGTTTTGGAGACACCATTTTAGCCACATGAACTTACATAATTCAGGTAAATGTACTTTCACATGTATATTTACTTAACAAACATCTACTTAATAAACATTTACCACTATTCAGTGCCGTACTTTACAGTCTTCTCTTTATTTTTCTTTCACGAAACACGCTAGACCCACCCCTGCTCTCCATTGAGAACACGGTTGGATGCTGCTTGCCCTTTGCCATGACATGCCCCATGGAGCTGCTAATTATTGAAAAAATAAATCAATAAAAATAGTAATAATTTGGTCACACAATCCACGACTGTTTGTGCGACGCTGTTGTGCATTTCACCCACAAAATATACCGTCAATCACTTTACAAAATTTTCTGTGAAGCACTTTGAGACATCTCAAAGAAGTGATAAAGCTCTATATCAAATGCAGAGATTATTATTATTATTGTCTGGTCTTGCTTTCTTCTGCTGAGCCAGAGCGGTTATTCTGATTGGTTAAGCTGACCAAGATTGATAGCTCACCTCTCCATATAATATTACTGGTGTTTCCATGGTGCTGAAATCTGGCATTTTCACTCATGTTAATTTTCATTCAGCAGATAACAAATAATAATAATTCTTGCATTTGATATAGTGCCTTATCACGTCTTCAAAACATCTCAAAGCGCCTCACAGGATATACTGCAAAGTGAAATGACTGTTTGTGGGCGAAATGCAGCAGCCTATTGCGCACAGCCGTGTCCCACAAATATCACTCCCTTATCATCAGTCCTGCACAATTGAGAAATATGGAAGGTAATTGATGGAGGCTACAGCAAATGGAGACAGACTCACAAAATATAATAATAAAAAAAAGCAGTAAACAAGGAAGTAAAACACATACAATGATCAAAAAACATTCACATATGGTGCTCTTCATTTCACCATTTTACCAACAAAAAGGTCACATGCCCAAAGATGGTGTTGATCATTCATTTTTATTTACTCATCAAAAATGCAATTTCGCCACATCTAGATTCTCAATCGCCACATGTGGTGAGTGGTAAACGTATTAGAATAGCACTGGACTAGGCAGACTAGACAGAGCTTGCCATGATTTTAGGGGCTTGTGTATTTATGCTTGGAAATGGAAAGATGATCCTCTACAACTACAATAAATTCAATTGGAGTGGTCTTTTTATCAGAGTTGACCATTTACTTTTGGGTGGGGGGGATAGCTTTGTTTTGTTCCCACAACCCTTTGTAAGCCTCTCATTGTTCATCTTTCCATCGTTTCCAAGAACAAAATTCTACTAAAATAGATGTTTTTATTCCCATTTTCTTACCCCCACCCCAAAAAAAGGTCCTCAATAAAATGTACAAAAATATCAGTCTCTATTTAAAGAAAAAAATCGCTGTTCCCTTTTTTTCTTCCTAATCAGCTACAGAAAGTCCTAGGAGAATAAATGTTACATCCTTTCAATGTGTCAAGGTCACACCAAATCTATTATTAACAGCAAAGAACTGTAATAGAAATCTTTTTTTAGTTTGGTTCAATGCGATAGTCATTGAAGTCTTTCAGCTGGATAAAAACATTATTTTTGAAAGGTACTATAATTAAAGCTAGAAGTATTTAACAAAGGTCTTTTCATTTCAGCACAAGACTGTTCAATGCTGTTTAAATGCGTATCAGATTTGGTTTCACAAGTTCTGAAAGCTGTGCTTCAGCCTTCCAAAATAGAAGGTACTATAAAACAGCAATGTAGATTTCAATTTCCATTTAGAACCAACATGAGGATTTGAAGTCATAAGGATGTTGAAGGCTCAACACCCCATCATTGTCATTCTTCCATGTTACCAATCCTACTGTCTTCCCATTTTTAAAAAAAATTCTCCGATGTCTTGGCCTCAACCATCATTCCATACGTTCACTACCTTCAAATTGAGGTTGAAGAGTGCTAGCTTATTTAATTGTTCTTAATAGTGCTGCTGCAACACTGGGGTCCTGCCTCTCCACTCTCCTCTGCATTACCTTTAGGGCCTGAGACTGATCTGTGTATATAGTACATATTAACAACAAACAGCTGTTCACATTACCAATCAGTGACAGGATATATTGTTGGTGCAGTATCTTAAATGATTCATATTGAATCAAAAAACAAAAGTAACTGTTCTGAAAGAACAAATTGACCATATTTACAATATTACTACATTAGAAGAAATATCTGTGCAATTTGATCTTCATTTTTGCAATGAATCCACAAAGACCAGCTTACAATATAGCTCAACAAGACTTTTCTAAATAAATAATATGAAGGTCTACTCAGCCTTCCAATGTTTGTTCAAACTAGATTTCATTTCCTACCTACTTTCAATCATCTGCCTGAAAGCAGCTGACTAAACAATAGATCCTTTTTCAGCAAGAATGAAAATATAGAAACCTGTCTAAAACTTCACAAATTCTTCTAGAAAGTGTGATTATAGAGACTTGTAACGACTAGCCTCATAAAATCATACAAATAGACCTTTCATAAATTTTCATGTGCTCATAAGCACAAACAACTGCATTGGTGTTGCTCACTCCTTGTACAGTACATCAGCATCCACAAGCAAACCAAAGAGATATTTGGTGCATGGAAACAACCTTTAGAAAAATCTCACCCAGAGAACAAGCTACATCCAATAACTTTCCCTGGCTGTTTTACTCCATTATGTACAATTCAAGTTTTAATGATTAATAAAATGCACAAATAAAATATATGCATATTCTACATTAACAAAACAAGCATTGTGTTGAACACATTGACTACCTTGTGTTTCCTACCAATTAAATGGGTTTCATTCAATAGAACTGATGAAGTGGCTCTTATGAAACATTAAAACCATCTTTTTCAGAAGCTGATTTAGATGCTGTAAAATCCCAGAATATCTGTTTTCATTCAGCATTATGTGGTTTTGTTCATCACCGTCAGCATTTTCTTGACAGTAAACAAACAAACATTCAGGTTTTTCAATGCCAAACTCCAAATGAACAACCAAAATATTTTCCTGTTTTACTAGAATTATAATGCAAGAGAAAGGTTATGTTACTTTAACACGGACCATCCTATTTACCTCATTAGTGGATAAGGAGAACAGCACTGAACTTACTAGGGTAATATCTCTTGAAGCAGCTGCTGCGCTCATATGTAAGCTGGGTTGTCTGATAGAACTGCTGCAGTCCAGAGCTCGAGCAAATGTACCCACAGCACTATCCAAGAGAAGAAACATGGGAAAAAGTCAATAAAGTTTTCATTTTGCATTGCTGTTCAGAACATATGCATTCAAACCTTGTTTGAGTCATAAGTTTTCTTATTTTGAGAAGACACAGTTGGACCCATTGCATTATAACGCAATAGTTTGACTCCATAAAAATCAGACTCCCATGTTATAACTTGTCATGTTATATAAATGGCCACCAAACAGCGCTTGTGAGTCATCAAGAAGCCACTGATATCATTGAACACTGAGCATGCGTGCAGCATGCAGGAAGTTGGCTGGACTGCAGCAAATGCTTTCACTAGCATTTTCAGTGGTTCCTAGAATGCTACCGACTCTAGAAGACCTTCAAAGATTTAGGATTCTACATAATGATTGTACTACAGAAAGGTTAACTGAGCAGGAACATAATAATCCTTGCATTTGATATAGCATCTAATCACGTCTTCGAGACGCCTCAAAGTGATTCACAGAATATACTGTAAGTGAATTGACTTTATATTTTATACCATGCCCTTGGTATAAATAATGTAAATGTTAGACTAATTTGAAGAACTAGAAGTAACTAATACAAAATTATCAAAGATAAGATTTGAAGGACTATTTCCCCTCCCCCCACCTCAGTGTAGAGATTATGAGCAAACTTCAAGTGGAATGTGGAGTCCTGTAGCTCAGTGGTTAGAGCACTCGCCTTGCAAGCGAGAGACCTGGGGTCGATTCCCGGCAGGGCGAAACCTTGGGTAAGTTTCCTTACTCCACATGCCTGATAATAATTCCTCCAAAAAAAAAACAATAATAAATTGGTCATTTTCAACCCACAGCTGTTTGTGGGACACTGCTGTACGCAATTAGCTGCCGCGTTTCGCCCACACAAATGTACAGTCAATTCACTTTACAGAATAATCTGTGAAACGCTTTGAATCATCTAGAAGATGTGAAAAGCACTATATCAAATGCAAGGATTATTATTATTATTATATCTAATTAGGACTGAACTGAAGGTCATACGTCTAAGTACAGCATTAATCAAATATGCCACATAACATATCAGGCACTGTACTGCTTGGACATTTATTAAAAAAATGAACAGTGGTAAATAGTTTTCCCATTGGCCTTTTTCTCACTTTGCTGGTTTGTGCTTTGTGATTTGGCTATTCATAAATCTTACAATCCAATATTCACAGACTGCAAATAAATGACTGGTTGTAAGTATTACATTCCACACCTAATGACTGTGAGATGCCCAGATTAATTTTCATCTTTTTAAAAACATTTTAGAAAAATGATTTGTTCCAATAAAAAGCATATATATGTGTTTGTTATAATATACATATTATATGCAAAATTTCTGATAGATTTGATTTAAATGTAGCCACTTTCCAGAGTGCATCTGTGTACTGTGCTCACATATTGACTTGATTAGACAAGATTTTCTTGCATTATATTATTTGTCACACTACAAACCAAAATACAGTCACTCAAAAATATGTACTGTGAAGCGCTTTGAGACATCTCAAGAATGTGATAAGGCGCTATATAACAATGTTATTATATTTATAAATATAAAGTTTTAAATGTTGCAAAAACAATGGCATTATTTTTCTTTGTGTCAAAAAGATGAATATATGTTAAACAGAAAAAAGATTAAGTATAATTAAACATCAAGCACCATCTAATTCCAAGTGCGAAACAAAACTCATTTTCCCCCAAATATTTCCAAACCAGTGCTGAGATGAATAATTGCTCTGAAAAGCAGGGAGAAAAATAGCTTCTCTGACACCAATGATATATGTAGCATAAAATCAGGCATTGCATCAACTGTAATTGAATGGGGTTCATTGCCCTATTTGCCAAAAACAATAAGCAAATTATATACGTTGTGTGACTTCAGAAGTACAATGGCCACTTGTATCAAATTACGAGTGAACACTTTTGGGACAATTTCCTTCCCAACATTTCAACCACATCCACCTCCACATTCATTGTTATAACAGATCTGTGTTGCGAAAACACAATGTAACACTCTTTCATAATAATCCTTGCACAAATTTGCATGTTTTAAATCGCATAACTTAGACCTCAAAGAGACCAATAGTAATTTTTTTGTGTGCTATAGTATGCACAAATCTTCCAAGTGTCATTTTTCAGTACAATCTCATAAAATAAATGTGTATTGTTATTTTACATAAAACACTGTAGAGGGCAGCATCTGCTCCACTAAACATTGAAATATTTTGTATTTTACTAATATTTAAATGTGGAACAAGGACATTTTTTTACAATTGATTTCATGGTTTACATTTTGTTTTGCTGATCAGATTTATAGCTTTTTCCCTCAAAATCAGAAGACAGCCCAGGAACATTGATTGGTAGGAACAACAGAACTCAAAACTGCAATGGCACAATCACTAACTGTAACTACACTGATGTTGTATATAGCCTAGCAGTCAATTGTCAACAGTAACCTTGAAGGTAGTGCACCGGCTAAAGATAAAACAATGGGTTTCTTTGATCAGCTAGAAAGGGATCTTTCCTTGACTCTCTATTGTAGTTCTGCATTTGAAACTGGAAAACAGCCCAAGAGCAATGGTTCAGGATTCCGAAGAGCAATTTTAAAGCAGACACCAGGAAACATTTCTTTATACAGAGAGTAATTAATGGAATAAGTTACCAGGAAGGCCAGGATGTTGGATGCACTTAATTGAGTTGATGCTGTAATGGGAAGATCATAGATTGGGTGATCTAAAAGGATGTGAACCAAAGAAACAAACCAAAGGATCGTTTTCATTGATATCCATTTTGTCAGGTTATCTCACATCGAAGAGCATGTGCAAAACCAAAACCGTTTGGATAAGCAAACAGTTGAGAAGTAAGAAGAGCCCCGCCCAGCTATTAGTGCCTCTGTTGGTTCTTCTTACTGTAAACTTCACTACTTAAACCAGGCACAAAGTCAAATAAAGTTGACCATTACAGACTAAAGTGAATTAGATAAAGAGTTGAAATCAAATAGTTTATGGCTGCCTATTTCTTTAAGAAAGTTAGTCCATGTAATCTCTTGATCTAAAGCTGATTGCTTGTCTGCTTTAGTATGGGGTATTTTCGTTTTCTCTTACTGAATGTAAAGCTAAAACAATTACTATCATTCCTGCTGTGTCATTGTGTCTTTGATCAGAATAACAACTGTTCATGAATGCATGGTTAGAACTCAGATGATGCAATTAGACATGTAATTTATGATGCTACTGTCTGCAACTGATAGCAAGTGATGGTTCACTCTATATAATCAGTTGATTTGGCTCTTGAATAAGCTTTTCAATGCCTTTGAAGAATAATGGATGGGTAGGTTGTCTCATTGTGCAACTTTTTATACTTACTGTCTGGGAAACAAGTAGGTGAAATATCCACATCAATCTCACTCTGCTTCATTGTTCAGTACCTGAACTGAAAGCTGTATACATATCTTTAATAATGTTTGAGCATCACTACTTCAAAGCCTTCCCAACAGGGCTCATTTGCTTGGTCTTATAAGCTGGAAATTTGCTTTGTAAGCTCATGAGTGAATACTATGCTAACAAATTTAAATTAGAAAACCTCAGCTGAAAAAGGAAAACCATTTTCCAAGCCTACAAGAAAGATTTAAGATTGAATTGAACTGAGAGATCATAAGCAATTCAGTTTCTATAAAGGGAAAAACAATGTGTTTCTCATTCCATTTGGTCTAATTGAACATTTCTGGTCTAGGCTGTAATATCCATCAGATCAGAGCACCTCAAAATGACTGGGACACCAGTTCCAGCAAAGCAGTGTTATACTGGAGGAATCTTACATCATCTGAGATACCATCCTTCCTGTTCAGATGAACATTAAAGATGCAATGACAATCTTCAAAATGAGAAGGCTGTTTCTCCCAGTGTCATAAATAAATAGCCATCCAGATAAATCAGTTATTCACTTCATGGTATTTTGTTGGTCCTTGCTGTGTGTAAATTGGCAGCTACATTTGCATACAATTGTGTGCAATTACAAGTTACTATAGTAGACCAAAATTGAAATTATTTGTAAACCACTTAAAAATATAATAATCCTTGCATTCGATATAGCGCTTTTCACGTCTTCTAGAAGTCTCAAAGTGCTTCACAGAATATACTGTAAAGTGAATTGACTGTATATTTGTGGGCGAAATATGGCAGCCAATTGCGCACAGCAGTGTCCCACAAACAGTCATGGATTGAAGAATATTACAAACGCAAGAATTTTTCTTAAACTATTGAATGGGCTCAATTTAATATGCAATTAAATTCTCAAATAAAATAAATTTTCACACTCAAATAAAGTTTAAAATTATTACAAATGCATGTTTTTTTAACTACTGAATGTGCTCAATTTAATATACAATGATAATGAATAAAAATATACAGTCAATTCACTTTACCGTAAATTCAGTGAAGTGCTTGGGTGCATCTCAACAACGTGATAAGGCGCTATATCAAATGCAAGGATTATTATTATAATTTAATGAGCTGAACAAATGTTAAACATGTTAAAATATCTATGCAGATCTCTGTAATAGTGTTTCAGACTCATTTTTGAACTCACCGTGCAACAACTAGGAATTGGTCTATCTGACGTTCATTGAGTGGATTCTCAGGATCCCACACCTTAACTTCCATCTTTGCTTGGTCTCTGCCATCTGATTCACCTTCCACAAAAAAACAAACAGAATACAATCAGCATATCCAACTTCACATGAGTGTCAGACAATTTACGACACCCACCAATACTTTGCAGAGTATCAGGTGATTGTTCAGAACTTCCCAATTTTTTTGTGTGCTTACTGAAATAAATCAACAAGAGCTGAAGTAAATCCTTCAGCTAAGAGAGTGCCCAACTACCTATCCTTTGCAAAATACACCTTTGGCCACGGGTCCTTTAGGCCACTGATTGTCAAATGGGTGGTGGGGGCGTGGGGAGGACTGCATTATGTTTTTTGGGGGTGGCCCCAGAGCCAGGAGATACCCTCAGTCTGGTAGTCCTCAGTCAGGATGTCTAATGTCATGGTGAGGACTTGGGCCCAGAAAATTTGGGATCCCCTGCTTTAGGAACAGCTAAATCTCTCAAACACCACAGCTGAGGTGATAATGGACTTATGTTCCACTTGTTTCAAGAATGTGAGCTTGCCTAAAGAGCTTGTGGCTAAATGAAGTGGCTCATATTCAGATTCATCCCTGTGGAGTCCTGTAGCTCAGTGGTTAGAGCACTCGCTTTGCAAGTGAGAGACCTGAGTTCAATTCCAGGCAGAGGGCGAAACCTTGGGCAAGTTTCCTTACTCCACACAGAGCCTAATAATAATCCCTCCAAAACCACAAACAATAATAAATTTGTCATTTTTAATCTACGACTGTTTGTAGGACATTGCTGTGCGCAATTGGCTGCCGCGTTCGCCCACAAATATGCAGTCAATTCACTTTACAGTATATTCTGTGAAGCGCTTTGGGACGTCTAGAAGACGTGAAAAGCGCTATATCAAATGCAAGGATTATTATTATTATCCCAAGAAGCTGACTGAATTCTACATTCTCTGGACTGTTCACAAGGAGCACTTTTCTGAATAACTAGTGTCCATGTGTAACAGATGTACAGAACTCAGCTGAATGTGAATTTATCTACATTCTTCTTCAAGCAAGAGTGCATAAACAAAATGAACAAATTAAATGAATCAATATAAACAAAACTTTTTGTAAGTATAATGACAAGAGTACTAATATATTTGCCAAAGTGAAATAAATGTATATTTGCACAAAGCACTGTAACTGAAATTTACATGCATTCATGTTAAGAACATGAATGCATGTAAATTTGAAGTTAGAATAGAACTTGAAACATAGTCATCCTCCTTCAGAACATCAGTTTCATCAACCCCATTTAATCTCTTGAGCAACGGTCATTTGAACACTGAAGTCTAATCAAGCAGATGTCCTGAACATCTAGCAAACCCTACATCCTGCTTTATGCACTTGAGCTATTGCCTCCTTTTGTGTGTGACATTGTCCTTGCAGCTAACAGATCATCCATACAGTACAGCATTGGTTCCACTGGAACTTGACAAAATCCAACAATCCTTAATCCTGTTCTTTACCAGATCATTAACCACTTTTTTTTTAAAAAAAAGGAGTTAACACAGCTGCCTGTGCTTTTGCTGGGAGTCCATTCCCTCCTGTTCAGGTGCATGTTAAAGATCCCATGGCACTATATGAAAAGAGAGGGGAGTTTCTCCTGATGTCCTGGTCAACAATCCCACGAATAAAATTGCTCAATCACTTCGTAACTCTGTATTGGGACACTACTTTGCATAAATTGACTGCCATGTTTGCCTACAAGATACATTTTACATTTTACACTACATCCTGTGAAGCATCTGGAGGTGTCATCCCGACATGAAAGACACTATATAAATCGCAAGGCTTATTTCTTATTATCCTCAACTATACTGATAAAAAAATCATTTTGGCTGCTATTCTATTCAAAGCTCATTTATTTAATATCATTTTGCCTAGCTTTGTGCTTCAAAACTAAGTAATATAGATGTAAGCTCTGTATATCTATGGTATTCATTCTTCAGAACCTAATCTTTCCTCCAAATAAAAATCTATCCAATGTTATGAGTCTTTCTTCATAACACAGAACCTCAAGTCTCAGAAACATTTCATGCAGCTCGAGGATTGAACTCATAACCGTGTCTACTGGGAGTCAAGTGCTGTTGGCTTCTGCTGCTGAGCCACTCCACCTAATTTATTTTTGAAAAAAATGTTTTTTTGCAAACTCCACACCTCAGGAGCAGAGTTCAGAAGTCTAGAAATATGTGTTCCTTTCTCACACTAATAAGCTGTTTAGAAATCAGTCATATATTATAGCAAATCTCAAATCTGGTTAATCCACAAATCCACTGTATCAGAAAATGTATTGTCAGTTTTGTACTGAATAACTGGCATTGTGACAAATCACACCAGCAAGAAGGAAAGGAAAATGGGAAAATTAACAGATTCAGCAGTAGTAATCATCTTTCATCCATACCACGTATAATCATTCAAAATACAGATTTATTATTTATGATTTAATTTAATTTGGATTATAAAAGTAAGGAGGTGCTGCTACAGTTGTACAGAGTTCTGGATAGACTTTATTTGAAGCACTTTGTTCAGTTTTGGGCACCAATCTTACAAAGGATAAACTTAGCCTTGGAGAGTATCCTGAATGTCAAGAAGCATTTTTTCACACAGACTGCTGTGAAGATGTGGAATGCTTGGTCTCAAAAAGCTGTAGACAGAAACAATAGAGACTTTTTTTTAAAGAGAGATGGACAAGATACATGGGTAGCAGAGGTATTAAAAGTTATGTTGAAATACAAGGCACTGGGATTAAAAGATCTACTAACATCTAATAAAATTGATAAACAGGTTTGATGGGGAGAATGGTCTCCTCCTGTTTCTAGGTTTCTAACCATTAATATTAATTCATCTTCATTTTTATTGTAGAACTGCAGGGATGAAAGAAAACAATGTACTGTGAAGCAAACTAAATGCTGGAAAACATACAATTAGTGCGTTCTCAGCCACAAACTAACTGTATGCTTTTCCAGTATTTCAGTACATTAATGTTGTATTGTTGTTGACATTGATGCATCAGTGATTTAATAAAATTGTAGCACTGTTTGTAATCCAAAACTAGCACTTCAATTTACTTTAGATTTACAGCAGGTTCTGATTTCAAATGTATAGGTGTTAAACATTAAACAACAGAAAAGTGAATTATTGACTCATCTCACATTTCATTCATCTTGTCCCATTTGTTTCCATATTAAATCTCAAAGAAATTATAATACCAGCTCTGCTAACTTACAATTGCAAGCTCTGGCTCTCATCATCTATACAAATAAAGACAAAATGTCTGTGTATCTGACAATCACGCAATAAACGATTGATGTAGATACACAATTTATACCTCATCAGAAAGGTCTTGCATCTGTCAGTATCATGGCTTATTTTTGAGGGGGATTTTCCATTGTTGATGAGCTATATTAAAAAATACTTTAATTAACCCCCAAAATATGAGGTATGCATCATATTCTTCAACTAGGCAGCGACAGAGGAAAGCACCTTTTTTCTGCTTGTCATTGGAGCTAGAATCCACCCAGTTGGGACATACAGAGAGACTGAGATAGTGAGAGAGACTGAGAGGGACAGAGAGAGGGGGGGGGGGTGCGGGGGATAGGGAGAGAGAGAAAGAGAGAGGGATAGAGAGAGACAGAGAGAGACTGAGAGAGACAGTGAGAGAGTGTGAGAGAGAATATTGTACAAATTGTAGTGACTGTGTGTTTTGTGGGAGAGACAGAGAAGGACTGAGAGAGAGATAGACTGAGAGAGAGAGACTGAGAGAGAAAGAAAGACTAAACAGACTGATAGAGAGAGAGAGAGAGAGAGAGAAACTAAGAGGGAGACTGAGAGAGAGGGAGAGAGAAAGAGAAAGACACAGTGAGAGAAAATATATTAAAGGAGTCCGCCCACTGAGTCCTTCCACAGGAGTCTCCCAGCTGAGTATAAAAACAAAATATCTGTCTGTGTGTCAGTCTATATTCCATAATGGATCCTTTTGTTGTAAGCGAAGCTTCAACGGGTGCAGCTAGTTCTAAATAACATAAAGTACAAGGTACAAGATTATTTTGGACAGGATTTTAATGACCTTCAGGCTTACACTAGAAAAAACAATGTACCAGACTCCAAGTTTGCTTATTAATAATAAACTTTTCTGATAGCACCTTTAATATCTAATCCAAAGAACGGTATCTCCAATAATGCAGTGCATTCCTGGCACTGCACTGGAGTATCAGCCTGGACAATGCAAGGTCAAATTCACGATGTGGGGCTGGAACGCACAACATTCTGACTCAGGGGCAAAAGTGCTACCAACTGAACCAGGCTGACACCAATGTACAGCATAACCAATAGACCAGATTACAGATTTACAACAACAAATGCACCCAACGCCGCCACCTCCTGGCTCGGCATCAGGCTCCACCACTGTCATGCGCTCTGAGTCGCTGGCCTTCGTGAGGGGTGCTGTATAAATACAAGTTGTTGCAATATGTGCTGAAGCACTGAATAACCCAAATCATTTCTCTTTGACACAATTCTCAATTTACAATTAAACTATAAATACAGAAAGGTCAAGAATAATAAATACAGGATTTACATAACAAGGAAGAAAAGGTGGCGTTTATATACTTTCCCAAGTAAATTCAACACATTATAACCATCAACATGCATATTTTATTATGCAAATCTTTATTTACCAAATGAGAAACTGCTTTCTTGTGATTAATTGAGGTCAGTCCATTTGAGATAATCTCCAGCTCAAGATCCCAAACAAGCTCTTTGAGGGCAAGTACATCAAATTATAAAAATATAACTTCTTGGTATTTAACCTTGCCTGAATGTTGAAGTAATAAACTAAAACCCCAGGCATTTACCAGCTTTCTTCAGTTCCTCAAAATGCTAGTAAATAGCAGTATTGGCACTATAATTGTTTGAATCCAGCGAGCAGAAGATAGCGAATAAGCTATCTTCTGCTCGCGGGATACAGACCGAGTCAAAGTCAATATCCCTGGTTACTGAAAGTTGTCAAGCACAGTAAGGCGGGGGTGGG